GGGCTGCCCTGAGGCAGGAGCTCAGCGGAAACCAGAAGCACAACCCCAAATTGAACACAGTCCAGTCGTGCACTGAATTCCTCGAAGCATGGAGTGACGCAGGGCACGACGCCTACAAAATGGACAGCGAGCTGGGACTCAACGTCAACTGGGCAGCTGTCAGGGACAAGCACATGATAGTCATGAGCCGCGATTCCCGTGCGCACGCCCAACGCGACCACGACAGCGGCAGCAGGCCCGCCCCATGGACAGCAGAGGGCAGAGCGGCCACCGCTGCAGCCGCACCGGACCGCTGGGCCGGTGCCATCGGCACAGCCACCCCCAGCCAGTGGCAGGACTGGCAGGAGTGGAGCTCTTGGGACCGGCATGAAGCCCCATGGACGGACACGGGTTGGAAAGGAAAGGGTAAGCGTTACTCCCCCAGGGGGGACGACCGGTACACGAACAAGCGCGCCCGATGGTGGACTAGGGATGACTAGTACACCCAGGGCTGACGGTGCCAGGCAGACCCGCCTCAGCACCCCTGGCGCTCCTGGGCAACGAGCTCCGCCCCTCCCACCCCATGCTCTTGCCCCTAAGGGGCCAGACCTCGCTGCGCCCGGCTCAGGCCGTAATACCTATGGGCAACTTACGCTGGGGCGAAGGTTGCCCCACATCTCACCCACGGCGCAGCATAGCTAGACAGCCCACACTTGATAAATGGACCTACCCCTGCCATTTCACCCCCCTGATCCACAGGGGGGCCGCCCGCAGGACAGACAGGTCCCGGGAGCACCCACTTTGCTGTCCGACGACGACAGCCATACATCCGCTGGTGGGGGGGGGGGGGACGGCCACGGACCCCCCCCCCCCCCCACGCGCCAGCGGAACGGCCTGGGCAGGCCACAGTTTTGACAATATCGACTCTAGCGGCGATCAGCTGCGACCCCCGAGGACCAAATTTCAAGGACGCACCTATCTGCAGATTCACATATGATAAGATTGGTTGCAGCCCTGGAGGGCCTACAGTCGGACACACCGACCATCCATGATGTTCATGGCGGCGATCAGCTGCGACCCCCGAGAAGGGTAAAAAGAGAACCTAGCGGCGATCAGCTGCGACCCCCGAGGAGTTTAAACTGAGATCTAGCGGCGATCAGCTGCGACCCCCAGGATGTCCCAAGAGGATGGCTATGGCCCCTGGCCCACGCTTTTGGGGCCTGTCCGAGGGGAGAGGCGTTGCGGCCCCTCGCCTCTCCCCTCTCGGGCCAGGTGGGTGTTTCCCGCCCTTGGCCCCGGAGCCCGCCTGACGTCCCGTCCGACGTCGGTTTGGTCGCTCCCCCCTCCCAGGGCCTGCCGTGTTCCGCGCTGCTCGTGGTCTGGCTTTTCACCCACAGCGGCGGTTGCTTCGGCCCTGGAGGAGCACGTGGCGTGTGTCGGCTTGCAGGTTTGGGGGGAGGCACCATGCGGCGGTCTGGGCTGGCTCTGTCTCTGCCCTCAGCGTCCACCGCAGTGCAGCTCCTTCTGGCGCTTCGCCCGACGACAACGCAGTCGGCACCACCACCACCACGCGTGCAACCCCCACTTCCTCTTCCTCTCCGTCGGCGATGCTCACCACGCCCGCGGGCTTCCCACACCCAGTGGCCGCACCGTGCCGGCGCGCGCTGGAGGGCACACAGTCGCACGGCCCCCCCCCGACACTGTGATGCGGTCCACTGAGACTGGCCTGGGCACTGAGTGGTTTAGCCTTCAGCAGCATGTGCAGCTTTTCGGACCCACCTTCAGCCCAACTGCGCGCGGCATACGTTCTCGACTGCTCAGCCGGCTGGCTTACGCAAGTCGACCGTTTGAAGTCTGGCGCCACAGTGGTGACTCACTTCATTGGCCTTCCCATGTTCACTGGGCACAGAGACCTGCCCACTGTGGTAAGGTGCTTGCGCCTGTCAGTGCGTTGGCCACTCGAATTTAGTCATTTTGTCCTGTGCACCTGCCCGTGCTTGCAGTATGTCAGCCAGCTCTGGCCGGCCGCGTTCTGTTTGTGCAAATTCGCCTCGCCCGTGGCCCGGACGTTGCCATCGCCACGTGACCGCTGTCTTCGTGGCCGCTGACCAAAAAAGTATCCCCACCAACGGCCCGCTCAGACCTTGACACGCCGTCGGCGCGTTCGCCTGCGGCTGGTAACAAAAAATATCCCCACTAGCAGCTCCCCTCGGCGGTAGGATTTGTCTGCTTGCTCGGCGCGCGCGCCGGCAATTAGGGTGCTCGCGGCCCGTTCTATTCTTCTCCAGCTGCGACACAAATATCCCCACCAGCCCACCCAGATAAGATCGGAGGTTTTCTGGAGTTATCTAGGAGGCTATCGTGAGCCATGTTCGGCTAGAGACTGTTGGATGTTATCCTGAAAACCATGCTCGACCTCCAGGGACGATTTTGGGAGTCGGAGGAGGAGGAGGAGGCGGAGGAGGAAGAGGAGGAGAGAAGAGAGAAGCAGGAGGAGGGGAAATAAGATAAGGAGGAGGAGGAAACGGAGCAGGAGGAGGAGGAGGGATGCGGCACGAGTGAAGAGATGATGCTGATGATGATGATGATGATGATGATGATGATGATGATGATGGCGATGATGATGATGACGATGATGATGACGATGATGATGATGATGCTGATGTTGATGGTGATGATGATGATGATGCTGGTGATGATGATGATGATGATGATGATGATGATGATGATGCTGGTGATGATGCTGATGATGATGACGATGCTGCGGATGATGGTGATGACGATGGTGATGATGCTGATGTTGATGACGATGATGATGACGATGATGATGATGACGATGAGGAGGAAGAGGAGGAGGAGGAGGAGGAGGAGGAAGAGGAGGAGGAGGAGGAGGAGGAGGGAGAAGGGAGGAGGAGGGAGGAGGCGGGAAGGAACGGACCATCACAGGGAGGAGGAGAAATTTCTAGGTTTGGGCTTTGGAGGTACGTTATTATGAGAGGTTCTGGAAGGACGACGAAGGCCATCTTAGGGCTTGGGGGCTCGCTCCGGGCCTCCGTGGGGCCTCTTGGGGCTGTTTTTTGGGGGGGTCTAGGGGTCCTCTTCTGGGAGCCCTCTGGAGGCACGTTTGGGCACACTGTTCAAAAAGGGGGGTGTCCTCCTAAATTCAGCCGCCCCTGGGGCGCTCTTGGGCGCTATTGGGGCCCTCTTTGGGCTCTCTTGGAGCCCTCTTGGGCCCTTCTTTGGGCTCTCTTGGGCCGTCTTGGTGCCCACATGAGGCCTCAAGAGCCCATCGGAAGCGAAAAGGCGAGACGGTAACACACACATTGCCTTTCCTTCGGTTTTGAAACCGTTTTGGCCTTTTGGGGGGTTCTTGGAGGGCTCGGAAGGCACTTGGATGCTGAGACCTCTTGATGGGGCAGTGTTGAGACCTCTTGGATGTTTGTCGGAGGCTATCTCGAGCCATCTTGAGGTATCTTGAGCCATCTTGGAGGCCATCGTGGGCTCCCTGGGACCCTCTTGGAGCCAACTTGGGCCATCTTGGGCGCTCTAACCCCTCGGGTTCCCCCCCCCCCCAGGCCCAGGAGAGGGGGTAGGGGGAGGGGTCAAGCTACCCACCCGCCCGCAAGCCGTCGAGCTCACTCCCACCCGCCCTCCCTACACAGAAGTAACACCCGAGCCTGAGTATGTTCAGCGGTCGTCTTTGGATGGACAGCTACTGGGAACCAAAGCCGACCCCAGGTGCGCGACGCCTGGGCGAGGTGCGCCACGCGTGCCAGGGGCGCCACGCGCGCCAGGCACCCCTGGGGTCCGAGCGTGCCAGGCAGGCCTTGTGCGCCAGGTGCGCCGCGTGCTCCGAGTGCGCCAGGTGTGCCGCACACTCCAGCCGCGCCAGGTGCACCGCGTTCGGGGCACGTGCAGAGTGTGTCAGGTGCGCCTGCGCACGTGACAGCACACATCGGGAAACATGTCGGCCCCCGCCATCCTTGTCGAAAACCTATGCCCATCATTGTGTCTGGTGGGCTTGCGCACGGCAGGCCACGCGGCACCACCCCCGTCGTCCCTGTCAAGCATCATTTGACAGTGATCGCGGGATGGCCGTGCATGATCCAGATTTAGCCGCGAGGTGCATGTTGTACTGTTTTTTGTCAGAGATGGTCGCCCTGCGCACGGCAGGGAATATGCTGACACCCCCGCCGTCCCAGTCAAAAACCATACAAAATGCTCGCGGGCCTCACGAACATGACTCAAGACTTTGCCCCAAAGTGTACTTGGCATTGTTTTTAGACGGGGATGGTGTGGGGGGGCCGCATCGGGTTGGCCGCGCATGCTCCAAATGTGGAGGCAAAGTGCGGTTTGTATTGTTTTCTGACAGGGATGGTGGGGGGCGGGTCGTCATGGTGTCGGCATGGTGTCGGCATGGTGCCTGGTTGGCCCTTTGTCGCCTGGGGGAGGGGGTGTATATCAAGAAGGAACAGTGATAAACCCCTCCCCCGAGCAGGGGAAGGAGGGGTCTTGGCGGAGAGGGAGGGCAGAATCCGTGAAACCACCTACGCCCAGAGGGCTGGTGGGATTGGGCTCCAGGCCTTCGCGTGGGCGCCGTCGCCAATGGGATTATTTGATCGTCCCCTCCAGAATCTTTCATACTTTCTCCTGTGCTCTGTCTCGACCGTCATCCTGCAGGAAGGCGTTCCGTGCTTTCGGTGTGTGTGTGTGTTGTGTGTTGTGTGTCGTGTGTTGTGTGTTGTGTGTTGTGTGTTGTGTGTTGTGTTGTGTCCTCGGGGCGCCGGGCCGTGAGTGCACCGAGCTCCGTGGCCGACCCAACGACGTGGTGGCCCGAGGGTCAAGAGCAGCCTGGCCTCGAAGGGGCCACCCTCACGCTCCTCGTTGTGGTGGCCCTCCGCCTCGGAAGGCTCCGCGTTTCGCGATCTCCACGGGGCCCGCGGCCACGGGCGAGGGCGCTCGTGGTTTTGCACCGCGTTCTTGTGGCCACATTTCGGCTGTGCACGCGGAGCCCCTCCCAGGCAAAGAAGAAGAGCGGGGCCGCAAAGAAGCCGATCAGCGTCGAATGCCCCGGCAGTTTCGACGTGCCTGGCTACGGCAAGGCGCGGCTCTTGCCACGACCTTCCAAGATCGATGAGGGAAGACCAACCGACCAAGAGGGACCTCAGGATGGGTCCGATGGCTGATTTTGAGCGGATTTTTGTAGGGAGAGGGGATGGTGATGATGCTGATGATGAAGATGATGCTGATGATGCTGATGCTGTTGATGGTGATGACGATGGTGATGATGATGATGATGATGATGCTGATGATGATGATGATGATGATGATGATGACGATGACGACGATGATGATGATGATGATGATGATGATGATGATGATGGTGGTGGTGGTGGTGGGGATGATGATGATGATGATGATGGTGATGATGATGGTGGTGGTGGTGGTGATGGTGGTGGCAGTGGTGGTGATGATGCTGATGCTGCTGCTGATGATGACGATGATGATACTGATGGTGGTGGTGGTGGCGGTGGCGGTGGGGATGATGATGATGATGATGCTGATGATGATGATGATGATGCTGATGGTGCTGCTGATGCTGATGCTGATAATGATGATGATGGTTATGATGCTGATGATGTTGATGATGATGATGATGCTGCTGATGATAAGACTGATGATGATGTTGTTGATGATCATGCTGATGATGATGATGATGAGGATGATGATGATGATGATGATAATCATGATGATGATGATGATGCTGATGATGATGATGATGATGATGAGCTGGTGTTGATGCTGATGTTGATGCTGATGCTGATGCTGATGCTGATGATGATGATGATAATTATGATGATGATGATGATGATGATGATGATGATGATGATGATGATGATGATGATGATGATGAGGATGAGGATGAGGATGAGGATGAGGATGAGGATGAGGATGAGGATGAGGATGAGGATGAGGATGAGGATGAGGATGAGGATGAGGATAGTGAGGAGGATGGTGAGGAGGAGGAGGAGGAGGAGGAGGAGGAGGAGGAGGAGGAGAAGGAGGAGGATCAGGAAGCGGAGGACGAAGAGGATCACCAACCCACCAAACCTCTCCAACCCAACCTGAATGCCCCAATGTGCTTTCTATTCCCAGGGGTGGGGGTGGGGCGTTGGGGAAAATTGGCAAAAACACATGTGGAACCCGTACCCCCCCAACCCGAAATGTCGGTATTCGGGTTAGGTTGGGGTGGTCTGGTAGGTAGTCAGAGGAGGAGAAAGAGGAGGCGGAGGAAGCGGAGGAGGAGGAGGAGGAGGAGGAGGAGGAGGAGGAGGAGGAGGGGAAGTGGTCCAGACCTCAGGGGCCCACGCATCGAAACAATTGGAGCAGCAGGATGCCATGGGAGGGAGGTCAATGATGGGTGCTTCTGCAATTTTCAACTCTTGCTTGTCATTCGGTCTCGAGAAATTCCTGGCCAGATCATACGCCAAGAGGGTCCGAGTGGCTGATGTGTTCAGGGCCACCATGAAGGAACAGGGTCCTGATGGCAAAGGGTCCTGAGGTTATTCTCCGTTCCAGCCTCTCAATACCCTTCCCAAGCTTCCGGACCGTCATAATGCGAATCAGGATGAACAATCTATCGTGGGGACCCGTTTCCCTCGGGACTCATTGTCCCGCAGTGCCGCCATATCAAGTTCGAGGATTACCCACAGCGGGCAAATACGGGCCAAGCCCCGCGATTTGGGATGAGAGTTCGTCTCCTGCGCTGTCGAGTCCTAGACGGGCCTCCCACGGAGCAGAACGCACGCAGGGATAAAGTAAGTAATGCCATCTGATACACTGGCAGGCCAATTGAGGCCCGCTTCGGATCGATCCTGCTCGAGATGCGCAGCAGAAAGACGGGGTTTGGAACTCTGATCGCGCGTTCCCGCGGCATAGCGAATTATCTAATGGCCTTCTGCCCATCCCGCCACTGCGTCTGGGTTGTGGGTCAGAGTCCTCAGGGATGCTTCTTAGGGTCTCTTCGGAGCGCCCTTGGGGGCTTCGGGGGGGCAGTCGTGGGGCCTCTTGGGAGCCTCTGGAAGGCTTCTTGGGAGCGTTTTGGGGGCCTTTTGGGACTTCCTGGGGGTGGGGCCTCTTTGGGGGCCTCTTGGGGCCTCCTGGGGGCCTCTCGGGGCCGAGGGCTCGAAAGGTCCGTTTGGGTCCCCCGTCAGGGCTCCGTCTTGCAGTCGTCTTGGGGATTCTTGGGCCGTCTTGGAGGCCTCTTTGGTTGTCTTGGGGCGATATTAGGGGGCCTCTTGGGCCGTCTTGGAGCGTCGGGAAGCCAAAGAAGGCGAGAACGCGGCTTCTTGGGCCGTCTGGAGGAAATTTTGGGCGTCTTGGAGCAATCTTTTGGCAATGTTGTGCCCTCCTGGGCCGTCTGGGCGGCCTCCCAGGGCTTTCGTGACCCGTTCTGGGGCCCTCCTGGGCGAGGGGGCCGTCCAGGAGCTCGCGCCCTGGGAAACTGGGGGTCTGGGTCCTCGAGAATCGGGGGCGGCAAAGAGGGGGGTGATGACTAGGGGGGGGTGGACATCATGGCGGGGGCCATGATATCTCCCAAGATTTCATGGCGCCTCTTCTTATTTCAATGCGTCCCTGGCCCACCCCCCCTCGGCCGCGCACATGCCGCCGGCCATGAATTGCCCCCTCCCCCCTCTGTGACGCCCCCCTCCTGGCCGCCCCCGATACCTCTCAGGGCTGCATGGGCCTTGGGGCACTCCACTTCGTGCCAGAGGCATGGTGGCGTTCGGTAGCAAATCATGGGAACCTGGTATGCCCTTCTAATTCCGTCTTTCGCGTCGATGGGCGTCGATTAGCGTCTGGGAGTCGATGAGGTAGCGCCGATTTGGCGTCGGTTCGCGTCGATGAGCGCCGATTTAGCGTCGGTTAGCGTCGTTTTTTGCGTCGATGAGCGTCGATTTAGCGTCGACTGGCGTCGATTCGCAAGAGCCGACAAGCTGGCATGGGAGGCTCCCATGGGTTGCCACCGAAGGTGGCGGATCTATAGGGCGCCCGATGCCAGGGTGCCCCGATCCTGGCGGGGCCAATCCTGGGCCCAAAGGCTGGCCTGGCCAGGACCGTGGTGCGTTTGGGCGGGCCGTACTCGGGGGGCGACCTACATTGGGGGGTGAAGAAAAGGGCCGTAAGCTCCCGTGTGGGTCCCCCCCCGGTGCCGCCCGCCCGATTCGTGGATGGCTGGCGCTCCCTGACAGGTGGAGCTGGTTCCGACCGGGTGGGCCGACGATGACTTCAAGCCGGTGGATGTCTCCAGGAAGGGCCAGCTCGTGGCTCACATGGACGCGCGCGCGTATTTTGCCGACGCGTGCACCGCCGGCAGGTACGACCACAGGCAGTACCTGGCTCCGAACCTCCTCGGCAAGGCGATCAAGTACACCGTGGACCTCTCGGGCGCAGGGTGCGGCTGCAACGCGGCCTTCTATCTCACTTCCATGAGGCAGAACACCAAGGTCTCCACCTGCTCGGACTACTACTGCGACGCCAACAACGTTTGCGGCGAGTCGTGCGCGGAGATCGACATCATGGAGGCCAACCAGTTCGCCTGGCACAGCACCCTCCACACGGCGCAGGACCACAGCGGCATTGGCGGCGGCTACGGAGGCGGCGACAGCTGGGATGGCCCTCGCGACTGGGGCTCCGCGGAGTTCGGCAAGGGCAGCAGGTGCGTGGACACCACTAAGCCTTTCGAGGTCTCGGCTGCTTTCCCTGTGGACGAGCAAGGCACCCTTGCGGCCATGGAGGTGACCCTGTCGCAGGCCGGCAAGTCCTGCCCGCTTATCGTGCGCCTTGGCTCCTACGAGGGCATGGCGGAGCTCTCGGAGGCGCTCCGCGAAGGCATGACGCCGATCGTGAGCTACTGGAGCGCCAACGACATGCTCTGGATGGACGGCAAGGGCCAGGACGGCCAGGGCCCGTGCGGTGCCGATGACATGGACGCGTGCGGGGAGTCGGTGGTACTCTCGAACTTCTCCATTGAGAAGGTCCATGGCCGTGGGCAGAGCAACGCAGCAGCGCCGGCGGCGGCCTCCGGCTCCACCAGCGACAGCTCCTCGCCGGCGGCGGCGTGCTCGCGGACGCAGAAGGACGACTGCAGGAACACCCGCTGCTGCGCAGAGGCGGGGATGCAGTGCTACGAGAAGCACGAGTGGTGGGCCGCGTGCAAGGAGGCCTGCGTCCCGGGCTCCACGGACCCCGAGGACACCGGGGCCGACAGGACCCCGTGGAGCTGCAAGCCCTTCGGCAAGCGCGCACCCGGCGCAGCTGCCTCCAGCAGCAGCAGCAACCGCAGCAGCGGCGACGTCGCCACGTCGCCAGGATCTCCACAGGGCCAGGTGCTGATCAAGGTGAAGGTCGCGGAGGATCGGACGGGGCTGAGACGAGGATAAGTCCATCCCGGAGCACTCCAGAACGCTCGCAGAGCGTTCTGGAACGCTCTGAGAAGGCCGCGGCGCCCGATGCATCCTCCAGAACGGCCAGATCTCAGAGATTCTCGATTTATCCTCACCCGATTTTGTCCTCGTCCTGGCTTCGTCTTAGAGGACCTTCCGATCCTTTCGGTCGGCGCTGAGCTGAAGCTGGAGATCGGCGGCCAGAGGCTCCGCGCCAAGCTGCTCGAGGAGTCCAGCGCACTCGACGGCTCGTCTCTGCTGCAGCGCCTCGACAGCGAGGACTCCGAGCCCTAGAGGTTGACACCAGCAGAGATATCGGCGGTGCGCCTCTACCGAGGGAAGAGGCTTCTCGATCTCGGCGATGGTGGTATTACTCGAGTAGGGGGTCGACTACAGAAATGATTTACCCCAAAATACATTTTCTCGTCGACTCCACGAGAAAAGACGCAGCATGTTGGTATGTTGGTCGGTTAACAGAACAATCTTTATATTGTTGCAGACTCGACTGAACAATCAATTTCTGCGTAAATCAACTCTGTTGTCGATCCCCTACTCGAACTACTGGGGCCCACGAGGCGGCCGAAAGAGTACCACCAGCAGCAAAACTCAGGACCATCTTGTCCTGGTGGAGGCACCTGCTTGTGTTGGGGCTGGTTGGTGCCCGTCTATCTCGGGATCTCCTGCTGGGACCCCCCCCCAAAACTCTTGGTTGGCAAGGGCGCGCCCCTCGGTTCGCCTTGTCCCTGCCCTCTCCGTCGGACCCTCGGGCGACGGCCGACGGCCGACGGCGACGACGACGGACGAGGCCGACGGCGGCGGCGGACGACGGACGACTGCTCCGGCGACGATGGCGGCGATGACGAGGATTAGGGGAACGAAGAATGACATAAGCATAAAAGCTCGGAGGTCCGCGCGGGTTTCTGGGATCCGCGCTGGGGCCCCCTGGCGGCGCCTCCTTCGCCGCCCCTGGCGCGCTCCGCGCGCCAGGGAGGGGGGTCCAGCACGGATCCGAGAAATCGAGAACTCCGCGCGGACCTCCGAGTTTTGATGTTTGTGTCATTCTTCCTTCCCCTGTGGATGCCTCCAGAGGACGCCGCCCTGCCGCTTCTAGCGGCCGCCGCGGAGCCGGCGCCGGCCGGGGCGCTGCGGCGGGCCGCGGCCCCCCTGCTGCTGTCCGCCCTGCTGGCGGCGGCCGTGGCGGTGGCGCTGCGGCGGCGGGGCGCGGGGGGCGCAGGCCGCCACGGGCGCGCGGCGGCGTGGCAGCTGATGGCAGACTCGGAGCTCGGCACGCCAGCCTAG